AATAAGTGCACAGTGGTGGAGGGAAGGCAGGGACCGTCATGCAATGATTGACAGGAACATTGCTTTAATAGTGACAATGGTACCTTCATCAACACGAAATTACACTTTTAAGATATGTGAAGTTTATGGAATAGTAATTATAGTTCTCCTACAGAAACACATTTTGTCTAATGTTGTAAAATACACAGACGGCATAATTCAGCTTGTCATTTTTTTTCACAGAACTACAAAGGTAGGAATGTAGAATATATATACATATGTATATATATATGTACATATATACATATGTATATATATACGTACATATATATATGTATATACATACATATGTATGTATATACATATATATATACAGTTTCCACATACTTGAGTTCTGTTAATTACAATAGAATTACATTCTGAAATTCACCATAATACTATGTTCATAATTTAACTGGTTTGGGATATAGCTTTCAAGTTTACATTAAAATTTGAGCAACCAAAATTGTTTTTATGCAAGAGTTTTGGATAAGTATAAAGATTTGTGTATAATGGATATATAACCATTGTATTTTTAGTTCTCTTTAGTGAAGCATTATATTTTGAAGAAAGTGTTTACTCTGGATCTGCTTTTAGATCTCTAGCTACACATTGCTCTCTGTTATTTTGTTGTAATCATTTATACAAATCTACCTTACAGCAAGCCAGTAAACCCAACACTCATTCATTAGGTGAGACTATATGACCTGTCAGAGAGAACTTTGGGGGTTGGAAACAGATACAGTAGAATCCTGCTTTATTCATTTCCCTGCTGTGAGAGTTCAAGATATTTTCCTCTTAATCTCTTTGAGCATTACTTTCTTCATGAAGCCAATAATAACATCTTCCCCATAGGACCATTTGACACTTTAAATGAAGTAGAAGATTATAAATAAAAAAGATTACAATGTTCCCCCCACAGTAAACTCAGATTTATCAGCTAATCCATGATTCTCTCCAGGAGCTAACCCCCTTTTCCCAGATCAGCTGTGTTGTACAATTCATTTATGTTCTTGGCTCATCTTCCAGCCTATTCTCATTACATCCAACTCTGAAGAGATAGCTGGTGAGACCATCGGAGGCAATTCTGAGTTACACTGTACTTTAAGCAAATTTCAACAGAAACATATAAAAATACGGGAGAATATTTTCCATTGGCTGTTACTTGAGAAATGATGAGAAGAATGAAGTTGTTTTCATGTCTATATTCCTTCCATCTTACTATCATGAAAAGGGTTTCATGAAACGTTGGTCTTTAATCCACAAATATCTATTACAAATGTCAATAATATAACTATTTAAATATATGCTACTCATCATTATTTATAAGACATTTCTCACAAACCTACTGATGCTTTTACAGCTTTTTCTTTTTCTGTCTAGTACACCAGGCGGGAAGCTGAAACTTCACATTATGGTCATGTGTTACAAATGACATTTCTATTGGATCAGTTTAATTGACACTGATTTTCTTCTCATCATTTTTTCCTGGATGTGTTGATTGGAATACATCTAAGTTGAAGGTTGTTGAGACTCCACACAGAACATACTGTGCTCTCCTTGGCATGATTCCATATGGCTGCCTCTTAGATTTACTGTAAACAAATGAAGGTTCTTGTTTTCTCTGCTGAAGCTATATCATGGATGTTGTACAACCTCTTTGGGTTATCATCCTGGGACACACAAGACTAAATACACATGGCACATAGAGAAATACACACAGACACATAGAAAGTGAGATCTTGGTCTCTTAGTTTTGGAGCCCAAGGTCCAGGCTCCCATCTTAGTCTCCCAAGTAGAGCCTCCAACTGATGAATGTGATAGGATAACCTCATTTTTGTTATTATTATTTTATTATTATTTTATTACCAGCTTAAACAAGTTCATAAAAAGAAATATGTGCTCTCAGTTGTTTGGGTTTTCAGTATGACTGACCCTCTCAAAAAGGCTGATGTTTTCCAACATTCCACATGTCAAATGATGCCAACCATCCTCCATAATGACCACTACAGCTCTATTGCTTTTAACATTATGAAATTAGGAATGTAAGCATATTTGGTCTATTTCAAGTCAGGACAACTACTACTACAGATGCTCTGAGTAAGGAGGGAAACCATTCTTTCTGGCTTTTGAAGGAGGACAGCAGCTTGAGAGACTCATAAATCCTTCTTTCCACCTGCAGTGAAATAGTTCACGGTTCTTTTGCATTTATGCCATGGACCCAGGAAGGAAAATGTCCTTTGGAAACATTATTCACATTTGATGTGGGGGATTTCTGAATGATGACCCGTGTACCATGGGTGGTCATGACTTCCAAGTGGGCAGCCATTTCAGTGTGCAGAGCCATGCAGTGTTCGCGTTCCTTCTCAGCGCTAAACTGTAACAGGAGATTACACACTTCTAACTCAAGATTTAAGATGGAAATATTGTTGCTTTTCATTTAATTCTACACTCATATCTTTTTACTATTTCTATAAGTTTTTTAATACTTTACGTGCTTCAAGTATCACATAACTAATTACGTAGCTTACTGTAAAATACCCTCACAGTTGTCTCAGAGTAAAACCATCAACTAACTCTATCATCATGGTATGAATACTCAACACACATTAATTTAATCTGTAATCTTTCTGTCACAACCGTATTCACTGGGATAAGAGATCAATCTGTTATGAAGTTTCTAGAATGTCTGTGTTTATGTCACCAAATGAACTCATATTTAGATTAAAATTTTAATTAATGAACTTTTTAATATATTATAATTTATTCACTTTGTATCCCAACTATATCCCCTCTCCCATCCCCTCCTTCTCCTACCCTTCCTCCCTCTTTTTCTCCCATGCCCCTCCCCATTCCACTGATAGAGGAGATCCTCCTCCCCTTCCATCTGACCCTAGCCTATCAGGTCTCATCAGGACTGGCTGCATTGTCCTCCTGTGTGCCCTGGTAAGACTGCTCCCCCTCAGGGGGAGGTGATCAGAGAACCTGCCACTGATTTCATGTCAGAGACAGCTTCTGTTCCCCTTACTAGGTAACCCACTTGGAGACTGAGCTGCCATAGGCTACAAACGGACTCAGAAAACAAGCTGGAGTAGCCATCCTAATATCTAATAAAATAGACTTTCATCCAAAATTAATCCAAAAAGATGAGGAGAGGAACTTCATTCTCATTAAAGGAAATATCCACCAGGAGGACATCACAATTCTGAACATCTATGTTCCAAATACAAGAGCACCTGCATTTGGAAATGAAACATTATTAAAGTTTAAATCATACATCAATCCCAACACCTTAATAGCAGGAGACTTCAACGCTCCACTCTCAAGAAGGGACAGATCATTCGGACAGAAGCTAAACAGGGAAATAATGACACTTATAGAAGTCCTAAATCAAACAGGTCTAATAGATGTCTAAGGAACTTTTCACCCAAACTCAAGAGAATACCTCCTTCTCAGCACCTCACGGAACCTTCTCCAAAACAGATTAACATTTTTGAGATATCTTTAAATAGAATCTGTTTTATAATTACATAAGCTTATTTATGGCTCCAAAAAAAAAAAAAAAAAGTTGTTGATCGAGTTTGATTTCTATGCTACCCTGTCATTTAATGCTTCATGCCCTCTCTCTCTAATACCAATTTTAATATTATGATTTTTTTTCTATTTAAGTATGCCAAGTATTACTTTTTAGTGGGCCATTTTTCTAAGTTCAGTTTTACTTATCTAAAGATAACTACCTTGAGAGTTAAAGATTACATAGGTGTGTAAATATGTGTGTATATGTTATATTGCCATCTATTTAGCCAGATAACTTACTGAACTAGTTAGATGGTATTTCTATGTTGTTGTGCTGAGGATGGGGTCAATGGCAGAGTTCTGACCAGGAGTAAGGCTGTAGGGTCCATCCCCGGTGCTGTTACAAAGAAGATAAACATGGCCTTGGGACTCATCAGTTGAGCCAAGTTCCTCGCACCTGAATCCAAACATGAGCGATGGAATCTTAGTGCAATTGAATCTGTGTTTGTGGTCTTAAAACCAGTGGAAGCTGTCTATGCATGTGTCTCCAGCTTTCTGTTTTCCTTCCATTGTTCTCTGTATACTCTCTCAGGCCATTTCAACTCATCGCTGTCATTTTTTTTTCCTATAATCTTCCTACAGTAGCAAATATAATTATTTACTGTGACTGAAAGAAATAATTCCAAGTTTCTCCATAGTATAGGAATATTTAGTCTCTCAAATTTTCATGTCCCCATTGTAAGTTTAAATTATTGACAGTGTCACTGGTAGTTACTGACATGCTTAATCGTTAAAGTCATGTGAGCTGACTTTTTACATCTGACGTTATTATGACGTTACATTTGTTTACTATGGGACAAAGAATATTCAAACACACAGGGAAGGATGATACAAGAAAAGTGAGAAATTTTGCAAAAATAAACATTATCTCTATGTATTAAAATACCTGCACCTCCCCCCCCCCAAAAAAGGCAAAAAATCTCCAGCTAAAATTTCAGTGGCATAATTAGTGGAACACCTACCTTAAATTTTTTTTTCCCTGCTGTAGGAGAACACATTTAGATTAGTTCCTAGACATCTTGATATTTGATTTAAATTGCTGGTCTTTATTTATTATAAGATATCTTGAAAAGCCATGCAGACTATAATTAAGATTTATGCACCATTAAAATATAATTTTATAATCCAAAATTTGCTTTTCCTCTGCATAATGTCTCTTCTCGTACGACGAGCTTCCAAATTAATTAAAGAGCTCCCTGAATGAAAAGAAATTCAGAAAACCTTCCAAACAAACATCTTCCTCTCTCTAAGTCATGAGCTAATTAATTACGTATCGCGTCTGTATCTGCCATCCCCAGACTGGATAATGTAGAAACTTAATTTACTAATGAAATCCTGACTGTGCTGCTCCGGGCCGGCGTGTTGCTGTTTGTCCTCATTTCTGAGCTGAGCCTCCTGTCTCGCAGGCACCCCTGAGGATTACCCGCGCTTCTTCTACATGGATCCCAGGACCGCAGAAATCACTCTTCTGGAGCCAGTAAACAGAGACTTCCATCAAAAATTTGATTTGGTGATTAAGGTAAATTAAACTAAAATCTTATTTTCTTGTATGGATGAAATGATAATCCATTTCATAAGGAGGCCACTGTAGACCTCTTGTGTGATGTGTAATGTGAACCACGATAACTAATTTCTTTCACTATAAACATTGCATTTTTTTTCTCTACAATGATATAGTAGTATTCAACATGTAGATGTAATAAATACATTGGTCAGAGGTATGTAGTTTAAATAATAAACTGGACTTTTCTTTTAACGTTTACTTTTTATAAAATAATTTAACTTTTGGAAATGAAGGATCAACAATGGCAACATGAAAATGTACTTTATATATTATTTACCTTAAATATTAATTTTTGGTTCTGTTGCTTTTTCTGACATACATTGAAAGTTCTTGCTCACACTCGGATTTTTTTCTTTTTTTCATATGAATAGATGATGATGATTTACAACTTACTCACTTTTTTTTGTTTGTTTGTTTTTTGATTTATTATTTGCCTGCATGTATGACTGCAGGCCAGAAGAGGGCACCAAATCTCGTTATAGATGGTTGAGAGCCACCATGTGGTTGCTGGGAACTGAACTCAGAACCTTTGGAAGAAAAGCCAATGCTCTTAACCTCTGACCCATCTCTCCAGCCCTTCATCCTGGGACTTTTAAATATATGCCTTACTATCTTCTTTATGTTGAAAGATGATTTTATAACTGACAAAAAATAAAGCTAGGGTGATGTACTTGATATTGAAATAATATTATAATTTAAAGTGTAATATTAAGTAATTATTACTTAATAATAATATTGACTCTATTTTAATGAAACCACAGAAGTAATATGGAAACTAGTTAATCCTGATGGACTACACTAGAATGTTGAGATTTAAGATTTCAGTTTGACACTGAAGGGAGAGTGAGAATTTCCTGATTGGAAATGAATACTGAATAAGGATAATTATAAGTAAGAGACAGAACAACAATAACCCCTGAATGAATCTAATATGCATTACATGATTTCACACCCATGCATGCACACACACACATACCATAATTAGGCATTAACATGAAGCCCAGAGGCTTCCTAAGCACTCCTTAGGAATGCTCTTTTTTTATTTTTATTTTTTATTTTATTTAATTTTTTTGTTTGTTTGTTTCTCATCTTTGGCTGGATGCCACCTCCTGGCTGCTGTCTTACTAGCACCACAGTATGTGGGATGGGAAGTTAGAGGGTCAGTGGTTATCACAGAGACACATGGCTAACTCTGGGGAGAAGTGAGACTGGACCTGGTTTCATTTACTTCAAACTCAGCCTCTTTTCACGGGCCAAACCATGCAGTCGCTTCGGTATTCTTGCCTGGAGTAACTGTGTGTAAGTCCAACTTCAAATGCCACCCTCTGAAATACATTTAAGTTTAGTTCACAGTACGCGAGAGCTTCCTGCCCTACGTTACGGGCGCACCTAATAATGTCTTTATTTCGTAATGCTTTTCCCTTGGGGAACTAAGAGTGTACACGTAGGTAAGTCTGTGTCCCTCTAGATCCTATCTGCTGTCAGAGAGGAGATAAAAGAAGACCTAAGACACTATCCAAAAGACTATTTCAATTATCTGGAGTTTCAAAGAATTTTTTTTTTTCTTGAAGATTACTCCAAGCTTAGGGTTGCCGGGTCAAGAGGCTTTTAGCCAATGAATGAAAACGGAAAATGTGCTTTAGTGGGAAGCCTTAGAAGCATAATGTAGCAAAAAAGAGGTAGGGAGCCTTCCGGATGGATACAGCCGCTTGGATGTCACTCAGCAAAGAGGCGAGGCTGCCCCCCTTTGTCCAAGGCAGTCATACAGGACTTGTGGTTATCCTGGGAACTCACGGAAGTAACGCAATGTGCATCCTCTTCTCCTGGTCCCTCCCTTGGGCCCCATGGGACTTATCTTTATGGGAATCATGAAAACTGTCTAAATAGTGTTTCCCAATTGCTTCAGTTTAAACATGAAATCTGTTTCCTTTGGATGCTGTCCTGGGCTGTCTGAGAGAAACTTAGCTATCCATTAATGAAAAAAAAAATCAATTAGAAATTTGAACGGATGAATGTTTATGTTTTAAAACACTTTATACTATCAATATAAGTACCTACAAGTGTTACTGGATCCAAACTACTGTGAGCCAAAGGTATCAGAAGTGGACAATGAGCAAAAGCATCAACTGAAACAATAAAAATGGCTACCCATTGGCATTCTTTGAAACGTCATCACCCGACAGTTCTCCTCAGTGGTAAACATTTTACTTTTTTTCCCCTACATTGGTGTTTTATTTTACATTGGAAGATTTTTGTGGTTGCCGAATTTGATCCCAATTTCTGTTTGGCAAGCTGAGTAAAGCAAAATACGACAGTGTCAGCCCCAGGACTTAGGGAAAATTCTGCCTTCGAGGAGAGTGATGTAGCACATTAAGACCTGGTTTGTGTCAGGAACCAGAGATTTCTCATCTTTATTTCTGGCTATTTCTGCCAGTGGTTTCTTCTGCATGCTCACGAGTAAAAACGCAAAGGTGGAGCCTGGCAGACAAAGCTGGGTAGTTAGACGCTTCAGTCTACCTAGCAAACAACCCAAGCTCAGGGAACACTACGAGGAAAGGGACCCTCCCCTGGAGAACTTCTCCAGCCTTTGGTTAACTCTCTCATCTGAGGATGCTGAAAAGGAAGAAGAATCAGTCATTTGCTTTGCCTCAGAATGATTCCATCTATGGATCATGGTCCTTGAATAATTGTCTGTATCATCGGCACACATCCCAGTCTGGATTATGAAATATCTGATCCTTGGAGACTACCCTCCCGAAAGCAGCGACCACAAACTTCCTGTGAGGCAGGACTACAGAAACGTGCTACAGATGTCAGATGTCAGTGCGTTTAATACACGCGCCGAGCGTCTTTAACCAATCACAGAAAATTCACTACCGTCAGTGTAGAGTATTCAAAGTGTATCTATACACTAGGCGTCTAATACAAAGCAAAATCTTGCATTATTAAAGCAGTTCTAATGAATACACTATTAATAATTCATTGTCTCTTGGTTCCTTAAAGAATAATTGCATTTCATGTAAATCCTTTTGATTAAGAGCTTTTATTAAGATCTGATTAAACAAGGGACACAGTGGAAAACTGCTAACACTGCATTACGGTGCCTTGTTCCTGCTGTCACTTGGTGGCTCACTCATTTTTCTGGCAGCCATATCTTAATTTACTTTTGTTCTGAACCACAGGCATGCTATAATATCATGTAATATATATATATATATACGTTATATACATATAATGTATAATTTATATATGATATAATATAATGTATAATATATATATTCTAAGCATTAGTGGCCATCTTGCATGGTGCCACTTTGGTCTCCCTCTCCTTGAACTTTGCCTTCTTTTATTAGGCCAGAGATCTAAGTCACAGTATTAAGCACTTGCTTAGGAAATTTATCCATTTGTTAAGAAGCCTGTCATAGTCCGTTTGCCTATAGCACGGCAAGGTTCCTCCATATTAAATGTATCTTGTGAATTTCTCTTGATCTTTACAGGTGATGGTTGGTAATACATTTTAAAATTATGTTTCTATCATTATTAAATATGTATATGTGGGGAGGCTGTGTTTTCACATGTGAGTTCTGGTTCTTGAAGAGGCCAGAGGTGTCAGACTTCCCTGAAGATGGAATTACAGGTGGTCATAAGCCACCTGATGTCAGTACTGGGGATCAAACGTGGGTCCTCTGGAAGAGCAGTGTCTTTTCTTGACCACTGAACCACATCTCTATCCCTGTTAATATATATATTTCAATGTGCCCCTGAATAACACCTACATAGAACCCTTAGAAAAATTCAAATGTATGTTAATGCAAAGTTTATGCTATTTGTGACTGTCGCAAACAGCTACATTTCTTCCAAAGAAAATATAAGCATTTGAAATAGGAAATGAGCCAGGAATTAAATTAATGCTATGTTAGCTCCCACCTGCCTCCAGTCCTGGTCAAAGGTTTATCTTGAGCACCGTGACGGTTACATGTGAGAAATGGTTGCCTTAACTCCTGACCCTCTGTGTGTCACTAACGCTTCCACTGTAGATTGAGTAATTTGAAAATATACAGTGTTTGTTAGTTTTCAGTTCTCCGTATCCAGTGCTGATTTATCTGCCTGAGATCTGTCCAGATGCAAGCATATAATGGACCAAGACAATCAGAAATGCATTCTCCTTCTGATGACTGCAAGAATATTTCTAATTATCGCCTGGGAATCTAACGATCGCCCAGTTTATATAACCACATCCAGTTAGTGATACAACAAACATCCTTTAGAATAGCCACGCCTTCTCCTGACTCTTCTTTGAATTGGCATTTTATCACTGGTCACCTAAGCCAGGCATTCTCATATTCTCACAAGTTTTCTCTCCTATGTTATCATGCAGTCTTCCATATAATCTACCCAGAGGCTTAAATAATTTCCTCTGCCTGTCTCTCTGCCTCGTGTGCCCCGATGAGCAGTTTACATCGCACACACAGGCAGGTGCTCTCTCTCTCTCTCTCTCTCTCTCTCTCTCTCTCTCTCTCACCTCAGCTGCTTCCCCAGGCACCCCGTGCAACTTGTCATGTTGTCAGTTGAGCCTCTCTAAAGCCACCACAGACAAGCCCCTCTGCATGTTGCTTTCCAACCTTCCCGCCATCTCTCTTTTCCTGCCTTTCCTCATGTGCTTGTTTAACACAGGCTTTGTCATGTTGAAGGATCGCAGGCTTCAAGGTCACAGAAGGCAGCCTGTCACCCATCATCCATCATAGTTTCCCAACATACAGAGACGGAAACTCCTACAGAAATGAATGAACTGTCAGAATTCATTAGGACTTTGAAGAGGGTTGTACTTTAGAAGCTACTGAGTTTTCCCTCCATTGATGTGTAATATTGTCGGTGTATATGGGAGAAAGAGAGGAAGGGGGAAGGGACAGAGGGCAAGACAGGTAAAGAGAGGAGGAATAAGAATAAGAGATAAG